CCACTCTTCCCACGGGTCAGGGTGAGAGGCACCCTGAAGAAATGGTCCCTCTAGAGCAGACCAGGCAGGGCCAGTTACACAACAGCAGTGACCAGACATGATGGACATCTCTGGGCTGGGTATAGTGGCTCATACCTGTAATCCCAGCACTTTGGGAGGCTGAGACGGGAACTCCAGGCTCCCCAAGCCGGCCCAGGGTGCAGGAGTCGGTGCCTCACAAACAGGAAACCAAGTTGTCCCGTATCACCAGACATCACCCATGCCCCTGTCCCAGCCCTGCCTGGGGGTGCTGTGGTCTCAGTTATGGGCCCTGGGCCCCATCAAGGGCAAGGGCAGGACCACACGGCAGGCACAGCCACCCCTTTAGCAAGAAGATGCTACCACTGTCCCACCCAAACCAAATAGACATGTCAGGACCTCCTCACCACAATTTCAAATCACAGGGGACCAATCCAACAAACTAGCACTTCAACTGTGGCTTCCTTGGCGTTTGCTTAGAGTGGCCACGGATCCAACAGCATCTCACTCCAAACAGCCCAGCCGGGAGCTGCCTTGATCCAAAGTGTGTTCCATGCAGGGACTTTGTCCCCAGGGTCTTGAGAGGTCCCATCCTCCCTGCTTCTCCTCAGCACTAGGGGTCTTTGAAGATGCAAGGCTTAGATGCTGATGAAAGCTGAGAGGAAGAGTCTGTTGAAGAGATTTCAAAGCCAGAAATAGATAGGTTCATTTGCATTAATTTCCATTTAATTAAACAAACATTTGCTGATTATCCTTCCATGTGTCAGGCCCTGCGCTTTGCCAGGAGTCATACAGATGAATGAGATAAGGTCCCTGCCTGCGGTACATCGCAATCGGGACCACGGATTCTCATCTCGGTATGCCCGCATCTTTGCCTTGTCACTTCTCAGACCCTCCAGTCAAGGATTGGGATCTGTTTCTCAAGTCTTTGACTCTGGACTGCCTCTGTGACTCGCTTTGGCCAATGGAACATCAGTATACGTGACTTGGAAGCACATGCCTTGGGAAGCCCACGTAGACCTGCCCTCTTGCTGCTCTCGGGAATCCCGCAGCCCAGGTCAGCCTGCTGGGTGATGAGAATCATGCCACCTAATCACCCCAGCCAACAACCAGTCAGCCACAGACACCTGAGAGAGCCCAGCTGACGCCAGCAGAGGAACCACTCGGATGAGCCCAGACCAAATTGCCACTCACAAAATCATGAGCTAAATAGTTGTTTTAAGACATTAACGTTTGCATGGTTTGCTATGCAGCAAAAGATAACTGAGGCAGTGCTCATAAAGACCTTTCTACCTTAGGAGCCAGGCCAGTAAGTAGAGAAGTGAAATATATTAATAGCTTGGTGTAAACAACGGGGAGTAGTGGGGTCCATGGGAAACTGTCCTCACCTACAGGAAAACAGCCTCTACTCAGCTCCTTCTAATTACTGCCATTCAGGAATGTGTGCCCAGTGTTGCCAGACAGAGTTTTAAACAGAAGCCAAAAATCAGAATTTTTGCAAGAGGATCTTGCAACGAGTATGCAAGATCTCCCAATGTTTGAATGTTGACAACAATTTAATCATCTCTAACCTGCATAGTCTAAGCATCTGCAGGTCTAATCCAGCCCACAGGTTTATAGCTTGCAACTCTCACTTAATAGAAGAAAGATAACTTTAAATAACAACTATGCTGATAATAACAATAATAGTAATATTAAACTGGGGAGTTACATGCAGGGAAAGTTAAGCACCTGGGGCTAGAGGAGCTCAGGAGAGGCACCTAACCAGGCCAAAAGACATCAGGAGGGTTCCTCATAGCAGGTGACATGGGGATCAGGTCTTGAAGAATGAAGACATGTAAACCAGGTAACAGGTGACAAAGATGTCCCTGACAGAAGGAGAAGCCTATCCTAAGGACTGGTGTGGCAGTGCAGGTATCTGGGAGGATGGCATCCCTGTGACATTAGGTGGAGCAGCAGGATTGACCAGAAGTGGGGCTGGAGTGGTGAATCTGTACTTCAGTGACCAAGGAGCTGGCAACGTGATGAAAGCCATTCAGAAAGCAGCCTCAGGAATCAGGCTCCTTAACTCAAACCCCAGCTTGGCCATTTCCCACCCATGCAAATCTTTGGCAAGTCACTTATTTCTTTGTGCTTCAGTTTCCCCATGTTAAAACTGGGTTAATCATGGTAGACTCTAACACAAGGTTGTTGTGAGCGTTAAATCACTGATGTCATTTATCCATGATGAACCATCTAAGAAGGGTGTTGGTTGTTTCTGTTCTTTTCTTTTCTCTTCTTCCTCTTTTTTTTTTTTTTTTTTGTAAAAGCAGAGCAGAAAAGTATGAAGAAGAACATTTGAAAATCATCCATAATCCTGCCACTCAGAAAGCTTGTTTGTTTATTTGCACAAATTTGTAATCCTACTCAATACATAATTTTGTATTTTTTCTCAGTATCATATCATAAGAATCTTCCCATGTCCTTAGAAATTCTTCAAAGGCAGAGTTTTTAAAAACTATTATGAAAATAATACACGTGTGTAGTATGATTTCTGTTTGCCTTGATATACAGAGAATAATGCTAGCACTAGTGGTTATTCACATTTATTGAACATTTACTATGTCAACACTGTTCCAGGACTTCATCCTCACAACCTGTGAAGTGTGTCATTTGTACCACCCCCATGTGCTGGGACACTCTTTTCTCATTTCGTCCCTGCTCTGGGCCTCAGTGGACTAATGTGCACGGACTGCCTCCACCTCTCCTTTGCCCTCTGGTGTCTGGTTGATACCAGCAAGAGGAGGCATGGCAGGAGATCAGACAGAGAGAGAGATTGGAGTTTTTAATCCCAGGGCTCCCTCCCTGTTGGCACTGCTGCAGGCTGGCCGCCTCCCCCTACCCAGACCCATAGCCCTGTCAGAAGGCCCTCTGCACATAGCTCTCTGGACAGCTTTGCAAACCAGCTTTGCTAACATCCTCCCCTTACCCCTGCTAGTCCTGCAGTGCTGGCTCTAAACCCTGCCTACGCTTTCCTAAAATGTTCTTTTGTTAATCTCCTGTCAAACTACCCAGGTTGACCGTGTCATCTGTTTCTAGCTGGGACCTCGACAGATACAACATGTGCATGGATAAAAAAATCATGTGCACTGATAATTAGTCATTTCAAAAGTTATACAGTGAAAATCAGGCTTCTTCCCTCTCCAGGCTCCCAGATTCACTGCTCAAAGGTGACCATCCTCAAAAGTTAAATTTTTTATTTAAAAATAGTAAAAATAATAACTGACACATATAGTATTTTATGGATAAAGGAACTGAAGCACAGTGAGGTTAAGTGACTTGCCCATGGTCACACAGCTCGTAAGTGGCAGAGCTAGAATTTAAATCTAAGTAACTTGGCCACAGAATCTGTGCTGCTAAACATACTAACACATATTGTCTCTCAGAAAATCTTATCACATTTACATCTATATCTTTATCTAAATGCTTTCTGTTGACTTTATACAAATTGAAGCATATTATATGTACTGATCATAACTCCATTCACTTAATAATAGATCTTGCACTTCTTCCCCTAAACCCTTTTTTTTTTTACATATTTTGACATGCTTTCCTTATGTACAACTAGGATTTTTTACTTAATTAGTCCCCTATTGATTTGTGTTTCACTTGTTTTCATATCTTTGTTATTATAAATAATACCACAATAAATAATCTTGTGCATTTATCTGCACATATAAGTAGAGTCATAACCATGGATTAGATTCTTAGAGGTACAATTTCTAGGTCAAAATGTATGTGCATTTTTAAAATGTAATAGCTTTTGCAAAGTTATCATTGATGATATCTATCTCAACAGTATGTTTAAATGTCTGTTTTTCTAGATTGTGTTTTATCCAATTTTTATTTTTTTATTTGTGCAGTTAAAACTAGTGTCTTAACTTTCATTTTTCTTCATTATGAGAGAGGAGTTGAGCATCTTTTGAAACAAAAGCATCACTTTATTGGCTCCCTAATACTCTATCCTATGCCATAATTTACTTAGTCCATGCTCTAAAATTTACTATTAAAAATTACAATGTGATGACCATATTTGTACATAAATATTTGTCGGTATCTCTTAGTATTTCCTGGGAAAGCTTTCTAGAAGTCAAAAGGTACAGGCTTATTTAGACTCTTGCTATAGTCTGCAAATTGTCACAGAAAGAATGATGTTACCCTCCCACGAGCAATGCTTGAGAGCCCCTTACCCACCTCCCCAGCACTTTCATAATTTTAAACGAGTGCCTACAAATAAGGAAAATGCAATCGCAATTTAATTTACATTTCTTTGATTTCTAATAAGCCAAATTAAACATTTTTTTTCACATTTCTTGGTCATTTACAGGTTCGTTTCGGTGAATTCTGAGTTTTATCCCTATTTCTACAGGGATCTTAGTGTTTCTCTGATGACAGGTACAACATCAAATTTTTAAGCAGTTCAAATCAACATATTACTTATTAAATTCCTCCTGTGTAGAAAGTACTGAGCTAGGTGTTTGGAGAGACATAAATGAGAGGCGATCATTATTCTTACAGATCTTGTGATCTACCGTGCAGGCGAGCCCGTACACAGAGAAAGCAATTAGAGGGCCAGCCAGACAGTCTGCGATCAAGTGCTAACCAGCAGCTCGGGCTACGTGCCCTGAGAGCTCAAAGAGGGCAGAGCGGAGCTCAGCAGACTGGTCAGGGAAAGCTTCTTGTAGGAGGAGCCCCAGGCAGGAGCTATGAGATTTAAAATATGACTGTCACATGGTGACACACATTTCTCTTTCCTCCAACAAAGGTGCTGCTGCAACGGTTCTCTGAGCACTTTTGGAGGAAATGGGTCTTAAGGAGATAAACTTGTTGACAGCTGCCACAGCCCAACCTGTCAGCAATGGTTGGCCATTGTCATCATTGCCATGGTAATGACAGTGGCAATAATGGACATTTATTGGACTCCGGCCACGTGCCAGCCATGGTGAACAAGTGCTTTACATTCATTATCTCACGTGAGCTTCTGGCAAGCCTGTGAAGTAGACGCTGTTGTCGCACTTTTACAGATGTGGAGACTGAGATTAAATGAGTTACTCAAGGGCGTCAGCGAAAGTGTCAGAGCCTAGTTCCTGACCCATGTTTGCCCAACTCCAGGGAGCGTGCTCGACATCCAAGCATGCTGCAACAGCTGGGGCCGAAAGCCTTTCCCACCCACCCAACCAGTTCCTTCTTCCTCCAACCTGGGCCTGACATCCCACCCTTCTGCTGGTTCCTTTGGCATGACTGATGGTAGCTACATCTACTTTTGAAGGGAACAAAATGAGAGTCACAGAAGTTCAGTGAAGACTCCCTGACCATGTGCTAGGTGCAGGATGAGGCACTGGAGTCCATACCCAGGAAGGGATGACAGGAACAGATGAGCATGGGCTTGGGTGGTAGGAGCATTGGGAAATAGGAGCACTGGGAAGGAGAGTGCTGGGAGGGAGGAACACTGGGAGGGAGGAGTACTGGGTGGGAGGAGCACTAAGTGGGAGGAGCATTGGGAAGTAGGAGCACTGGGAGGGAGGAGTGCTGGGTAGGAAGAGCACTGGGAGGGAGGAGCACTGGGAAGTAGGAGCACTGGGAGGGAAGAGTACTGGGTAGGAAGAGCACTGGGAGGGAGGAGTACTGGGTGGGAGGAGAACTAAGTGGGATAAGTATTGGGAAGTAGGAGCACTGGGAGGGAGGAGCACTGGGGGAGGAGTGCTGAGTGGGAGGAGCACTGGAAGGGAGATGCACTGGGTGGGAGGAGCATTAAGAGAGAGGAGCACCAGAAGCCCGGAGATGGGGGCGTGAGTGTCTGGAAAGTCTTCTTGGAGGAGATGGTTCCTGAGTCAGTGCTGAAAGATGGAGGGATTAGCCAAGCTCAGGAGGGGCAGAAGGGTGCTCTAGGAAGAGCAGACAGCCCAGGCAAGAGCACAGGTGGGATCCAGTGTAGATAGGATGGCAGATCACAGCCTGCCCCTCATCACAGCATTAACCTTACTGTGTGGTCCTACTCTGTTGACCCACCTGTTCTCCCCAGCAAGCTGTGTGTTCCCCAGGGCAGTGACTACATCCGACTCTCTCCCAGGAGCCTTGCCATGGCATAAGGCCTGGCACCTGCTGGGCAGGCAATAGCATCTGTCGATGAGGAGTTCATGACCAAACAGGTGGGGCCTGTCTGTGCAACCAGACTGTGCACCCTCTGAGGACAGGGACCAACACCCTTCTCCTTCCACTGTCCATCGATCCCATGTGCCAAGCACAAGCCTGTGTACAATGTAATACTAATAATTACTACTATTATAGCAAACATTGCTTACACAGCAATGACTTGCAGGCCCTACTCTAAGTAGGGCTGTTGCTTTCCACCTATCTTCTCATTGGATCCTCAAAACACTTCATTACCCATTCTACAGATAAGAAAACGGAGGCACAGAAAGGTCAAGAAACGTGGCCAATGTCATTTGAGAGACACTACATAACACAGAACTTCAAAGCCATGGGACTCAGACTACACCTTGGTTCAAGTTCCAGGTCTACCACTTAGTAACCGTGGGATCATTACTTCTAGTCTGCAGCTCCAGTTCACCATTTGTGAAATGGTAATGACAATTCCAACTTCACAGGTTTCTGGTGAGGAGCAGATGATAGCAATGCAAAGCGCCTGGCCCAGTGCTTGGCATGCAGCAGGAATCAGAACCGGGTAGCCATCACTTTTGCTCTGAAGTTGGGAAAGGTCTCTTCCCAGGGAAGGGGGCCCCATGTTGCCCTCGTATTCCTCCTGGTCCCCGTCTCCTGGGACACGACCTCCTCCTGCCCCTCGCCGGCCACTCACAGGAAGACCTGTGAATCAGCCCCCCGTTCCACTCGGGCCTGCTGTTTCCCAATCAGCAAACTTGTTCCATATAGAGCAATCTTTTCCACTGCTCTCAGCTGCCAGCAGAGACCAGCATTAGAGAGTGTCTTGGCTCCCATCGGAAGAAAAACAAACTTTGCAGAAAAATAAACACTTTTTTAAAAAGTCCTGTGGTTTTACATTCAAGACCTAATAGTTTTTCCTTTCTTTTTCTTTTTTTCCCCCAGATACCACAAATCTTCTGCTGGAGGGAGAAAAAAGGAAAAGTGACCAAGAAGGGACTTGAGATTGTTCTTCCATGCAAACATGACCCAAGATGGCTGCATTCAAGGACCAGGGTCCTGTCTGTGCTGCAGTGAGAACTGTCAGCCCCCTAGAGACTAGAGTCCTCTTCCCCTGCTCTCTGAGCAGTCCCTTCTTGCTTCCCCGGCGACCCTCTCACCCATTCCTGTCGCTCCAGAGACACAGGCATAGATGTCAGGGAGGCCCAGACAGAGGCTCCGTGTGATAGGCCTGGGACACTTTCACTCCAAAATATAGTCACCTCCCTACAGTGAGGCTGGCTGGCCAGGGGCCACCCTGTTCCAGTGACAAGTCTAAAATAGGAAACCGTTTCTTAGAGAAGCACAAAACCATTGCCTTTGAGAACATAGAGTAACGCAGCAAGAAGAAACAGCCCTCTGGTCTGGAGGGCAGTTTCCTGGCGGCCTCTACTCCACCCATCCCTCAGCAGGGCAGGGAACAGAAGGCCAGAGTGACTCGAGTGACTCGGGCAGTGGCTGAATGCCCTGGAGGGGCCATGCCCCTCACACAGGCCTGTGTCTGCTCATCCCAAGCCTCGGCTCCACGTCAGCCTGCGGCAGGCAGCGGGGGAGGCTGGTGGGTGTGATGACTTAGAGGCGATACAGGGAGAGCCGTCTGCAGGAACTGACGCATAGCAGACAGTAGGCGCTCTGCTCATCTCTGCTCCCTTACATCTGGAGCTCTTAAACCTGCTGCCCATGCCTTCCGAAGGTCCGGAAACGCCCTGAGAGGCAGACAATATTTATGTGCATGCCCTCACTGGTGAAAGCATTCGTTAAAATCTCCAAGGGGTCAAAAATCCCAAAAGGCTAAAACCCACCGGCTTTTTGATTTAACTTTTTATTTGCAAGTTGATCTCCTTAGAGGCAAGGACCTGTCTTATTCGTCTTGCTGTCATCCCAGCATAGGGAAAGACCTGGCATTTTGGACATTCAGTGGAATGAATGAACGAGTGAATGAGTGAGTGAACAACAAATGGCTTATTCCTTCTAGGACTTCAGAGATTGACAGAGGAGCTATACAAAAAAGGCATATAACACAAGGCAGAAAATTATCACAATCAAAAGAAATGGACAAGTAAAGAGCCGCAGAGGCTCTGAGAAGACGTAAGTTCTCTGGCCGGGCTGGGGAGTGGACTGGCCGGCAGAGTGGAGCTGGGACAACTGGCGGGCGTTAGGGGAGGGGAGGTTCAGCAGATAAAGTGGGGAGAGACCTGGGAAGTCTTTCAGGAAATAGGGTGAAAAAGGAATCACGAACTTTATAGAGACATGAAAATTTTTTTAGCTGTGGTTTTGTATCCAGGGCCTAATGGTTTTTCCTTTCTTTTCCCATATAAGCTGTCCAGTTTGGCTAGAGGAGACGATATGTTTGAGGAGGGGTGGGAAAGAGGTTTGGAAACAGAGGCTGGAGCCAAATCCTGGGGGGCCTCAGATGCCTCCACTAGCCCAGCCCTGAAGCCACAGGCCCGTTCCACTGGGGAGGAGAGGGTGAAGGGATGGCCCAGGGACAGACCAGCGCCCCAGGCCCTGCCGGGGAGCTCCTGCAGGGCTGCAGGGCAGGAGCACACAAGGCCAGGGCAGCCTGGGTGGAGTCGGGGGACAGATATGAGGAGTTGGGAAGGGGACTCAAGTGTCTGGCAACTGAAGTCGCGTGGGGGACAGTGAGGGAGAAGCTGCTGGCACAGAATGCTCTGGTTTTCCCCGGCCTCGGTCACGGGCCATTTTGAAATTTCAAATAAAAGCATATTTTAGAAGATTAAATTATACCCAGTTATATGAACATATAAAGTGAGATTTTAAAAACGAGCAAGACAAATAAAGACACAGAACAAGTACGAACTGATGTTTTTTCTGGTCTCATCTGTGCTCCACGATTGCTTCCGAAATCTCTGGTTTTCTCCCAGCCCTGAGCACACTCACCTGCTGCCTCAAGGCATTTGTTCTTGAAGAGTCTGCCTTGAAAGCCTGTCCTCTCACTCTCGCTCAATCACCCCTCCCGGCATGAAGCAGCCTTCCCATGCATGACAGTGACGCTGGACTTGCTAAAGGTCTCCAGCCAAAAGTTGTCAGGATTCACAGGTGACGCATTACAAACCCAGACCTTCCAACCTCCCGCTCGCCCCAGGCCACACGTGAAGCTCTATCCAGTACAACAATAGCAGCAGCCACCACTGCTACCTGTGCCCACTCTGTGGCAGGCGCTGCTTCAAGCACTTCACGGCTATTACCCCATCGAATTCTCACAAAAGTCCCCATGGGTCGGGTGCCACTATAATTCTCACTTATAGGTGGTGAAACCAAGGCACAGGTCTTGGCGAATGAACGGCAAGGCCAATATTGAAACCCATGATATCCGTCTTTAGGTCCACATTGCTAACCCCCGCTCGTGGCCGCCTGTCATTTGGGACCCAGCTCTTTCCCTCACTATCTCATGGATGTGCTTCACTGGGGAGTCTGTCACTTGCAAGGCTTTCATTCAGAGAAAGAGGGTAGTGGCTGTTTTTTCCATGCCCCCTGTATTCTTATGAATATATGCTTTCTTAAAAATGCAAGAGAGACTATTGCATGTGAGGCATTTGTGGGGATCAGGTAAGTAGCAGCTCTGTGTGGCCTGTCCGCACTCCGTACTGACCTGAAGGGCCAGCCACAGAAGCACTCTCTGCCTCTACAAGCCAATCTGAGAAATGGGCTTGCAAAGTGGGACTGAACATCCGTCCACAGACCCACAGTGGGAACATAAGGTATAGAAGTCTCAGGGAGAAGCATCAGAGACTTGCCTATGGAAGGCAAGTAAGATCTTCTCAAGAAATGAGCCACAGAGGGAACTCAGTTTCTAACACAAGAGAGAAACATCATAACGGAAACCACCACTAGAAACAGAGTGACGTGGTCCCAGCGCTAGTTCTGCCACTTGCTAGCTGTGTGACTGCAAAAAAAAAGTCAAGCATGAGTTGGTCCATCAAGTCAATGTGTTGTCCTCACTGTGTGTCTGTGACTTCACTCTTTTTTGTGCCCTTGCTCAGGTTTTCCATCAGCTGAACTTCTATTTATTCCTCAAAGCCCCATAGAAATGCCACCCCAAAAGCCCGCAGGTGGAATTAGTCCCTCTTCCTCTTGGTGCATGTAGCACTCGCTTATCTCTCTCATTGGGGCTTATATATTTTGCTACCTCAGATTTTACATGCTTATTTAATCATTTAAGAAAGTGTTCGTGTATCTGATATAATCTCCTGAGCACCTACTACATGCCAATAGCTGTGCTAGATGTTGGGATTCTTCTTTTTGAGACAGTCTCACTCTGTTGCCCAGGCTAGAGTGCTGTGGCATCAGCCTAGCTCACAGCAACCTCCAACTCCTGGGCTCAAGCAATCCTCCTGCCTTAGCCTCTCAAGTAGCTGTGACTACAGGCATTTGCCACCATGCCTGGTTATTTTCAGTTGTCCAGCTAATTTCTTTCTATTTTTTTAGTAGAGACAGGGTCTTGCTCTTGCTCAGGCTGGTCTCAAACTCCTGAGATCAAACGATCCACCCACCTCTGCCTCCCAGAGTGCTAGGATTACAGGCGTGAGCCACCACCACGTCCGGCCAGGGATTCTAATGACAAAGAGAGAGTTGTGTCCCCCCAAAAAAAGATAAGTTAAAGCCCTAACCCCAAGAACCTGAAACTGTGACCGGTTTGGAAACAGAGCCGTTGCAGGTCTAATCAGTTACGTTAGGATGAGGCTGTGCTGGAGGAGGGTGGCCCTGGCCCAGCAGGACTGGCGTCCTTGCAAGAGGCACAGACATATAGCAGCGGGGCTTGGAGTGATGCTGCCACAGTCCAAGGATTGCCTGGGGCCACCAGAAGCTTCTGAGGGAGCATGGCCCTGCCAAGACCTTGAACTCAGATATCTAGGCTCCAAAACTGTGAAAGAATAAATTTCTGTTGTTTTAAGCCACCCCGTTTGTGGTACTTTGTTGTGGCATTCCTAGAAAACTAACACGGAAAAGTTCTCCACTTTCAGGGAACAATACATAAGCAGATAATTACAAAGTAGTATGGGAGTGCTATAATAAAAAGGATGTCCTCTGTACAAACCCAGAGGACATAACAGTGACAGCTAACTCAGCCTTGGAAGAGAACCAGCCCTCCCAGAGCGGGCACAATTGAAGCTGGGTTTTGAAGGATGAGTAGGAGTTCCCTGGGAGAAGGTAATTGGAGAAAGAGCACTGTAGGCAGAAGGAATGGCAGTACCGCCCATGCTCTCGGTTTCTCCTGCTGGACTGTGCTACCTGGCTCCCTTAGCACAGGCTCTGCTCATGACAAACGCTCAGCTCATACCTCTTGAACTTGCAGAAAAGCCAGACTCTCCAGACAAGAAGCAGAGGGGAACAGAGGATGGAGTGTGGGTGGCTGCCACCTAGAGACAGGAAAAGCTGAAGTCTTCAGACTCCCCAGCTGGAGGAGATGGAGGGGGCAGCAGAGGCCAGAGAAATGAGGCAGCCCAAGCAGGGCTGGCTTTAAAAAAAAAAACAAAAAGCAGAATTGGGTTGTTCTCGAGGGCTGCAGCTCAGCTGGGAAGGAAAGCAATTTATGGCCAAAGGAAGTAGCCTGACAGTAAACAAAAATATAGTGACCCCCAAGTTCCCACCGGACAGAAGATGGATGGTGCCGTCGTAAAAATGAGATTAATTTTAATAAGGGCTTTCACCAAGCAGCAGACCCTGGTGGTCAGAGGCCCGTCCCAGCGCCGGTGACAGGCAGCATTGCTGATGGATGGGGCTGACCTCGGGAGCCGAAGACATGGGGAACGACCAGAAGCTTGGGCCTGGCCCCTGGCTGTGACTTAGGCAGCTGCTCTCTGTGCAGATTGTCATGCTGGTTGGTGCCCACAATCCAGATCTCTGAACTGTGGCTCCTGCCCTGCCAGCACAGGAGTGCCCTGTTCCCCCAGCTTGATGTGGGACTGAGAGGACAGTGCTTGCATACCTCCTGTAATGAGAAACTCACTACCTACCAAGGCTGTGAGGCAGCTGTCCATATGAGGTCACTCATAAAATGCCTTTTGTCTCTTTCCTTTGCCACAGAAGAATCCTGCAAGGCTGTGACCATTCTTGATTCAAATCAGCAGAGTCCTATTTAGTAAACACTGTCTGAGAGCTCACCATGCAACAAGATTATGAGGAGGGAGGTGGTTCCTGTCTCCGAGAGCTTTCCGAAGGGAAAACAGACGGGGCCCTCACCCTGACCACGGTCTGAGCCCTGACTCTCTTAGACACTCAGCCCTAATCTTGGTTGGCAAACTGAGCCCTGAACCTAACTAAGCCCCGTGCCCAACTCAAACCGGGCCGCCGGTTGCAGTCTGAATCTTAATCCTTTACATAGACTGAGTCCCAATCCTCCTCTCAACTGAGCCCTGACTGACTTATGGCCTCACGAACAAGTGCCTCTTATCAAGGGATGAAGGAGGTGGCAATGAGACTGTAAATGGCTTGGTGCCACTCACCTCCCCACCTGGAACAACGCCCAGCTCTTCTGTTCTTGACGGCCCGCCTGTATTCTGTGGGCCAGCCCTGCCTGAGAGAGCACACTTCGGTGCTCCCTCCCTCCCAAGCTCT